TGTCTCCCTCTCTCTGACCCTCTCCCATTCATGCTCTGTCTCTCTCTGTCTCAAAAATAAATAAACGTTAAAAAAATTAAAAAATAATAATAATAATAAAATAATAAACATTTAAAAAGTTTAAAAAATAATTTAAAAAAAAACCTTTATGCTTTGGAAGCCAATCTGCTCTGAGATATTTAAATCCTATGTGTCTGTTTCTCCATCGTCTTCCACAGGGCTCAAAAAGCCTTTCTTCTTTTTTTTTTTTAATGTTTATTTATTTTTGAGAGAGAGTGGACGAGGAGGGATGGGGGTGGGGGTAGGGGGCAGAGAGAGAGGGAGACACAGAATCCAAAGCAGGCTCCAGGCTCTGAGCTGTCAGCACAAAGCCTGATGCGGGACTTGAACTCATGAACTGCGAGATCATGACCTGAGCCGAAGTTGGACGCTCAACCGACTAAGCCACCCAGGCATCCCTCAAAAAGCCTTTTAAAAGCTAAAGCTGGTCTCAGCCTTTGCTCACAGAACCAAGAGGAAAAGAAGTTCCCCTCTTGATTGTTGGGGAGCAAGGCAATAGTGCCTCTGTGAGAGAAGGGGGTGCAGCCGCCAGAAGAGAGAAGCTGCCAGTGGGGATCAGGATCAGCGACTGCAGGAGTGTTATTAGAGCAGCTCTTGAACAAACTAGCCCCAAGACTCAGAGAGCATCACCTTAGGGTGGGATCAAGGCTTCCTGAAGTAGATGCTTCCCCCGCTCCCACCCCTCACACTATGCACCCAGCAAAGATTCTCCGGGTGAAAGGGGAGCCGAGAAAACTTGGAAAAGAGGCAAGTGTCAGCCTAGGATGTCACATCTGGCCAGAAAGGGCATTTACCCACAGAGGAGACAAAGTGAGTGGCCCTTCTCCTGTTGTCCACCCATGATTCCTCTTCCCAACCCCTGAACTTGAGGAGCCCGAGAAAGCTGGCAGGCAGGGGTCAGTGAGGTGTGCAGCTTCTGGGAAGCCGAGTGAAGGGGAGGACCACAGAAGGCAGTCCTACTTGGGCACAGTGGTGCTGAACTCCCCAAACCGCCCACAGTGGTCCTGGAGTCTAGCCCTCCAGATGAACCGGCTAGCTCTGCACACAGGCCTGCTTGGGGACCAGATCCTAGATCTGTAAGGATAGTCATGGGGATAGGACCCCTGGAAGACCACACACTCAGTGACCTTGGGTTTTCAGAGGTAAGTTAGTTGTCCACTGCAGGATCCCAGCACCTTGCAGGTAGGGCACTGCATATGTCATTTATCCTTCAGAAGCTCTAGTGAGTGAAGGTAATGATGGACTTGCAGACCTGGAGACCATACCCCTGAGCTGCTTCCTCACCTGGCCATATCAACTAGACCCCCATGGTGAACTGGACCTCCAGGAGCTCTGATTCCACCATAGAAGTCCTAGGCCTGGGAGAAAATAGTCTGATCTAGCAGCAGAAGCAAAAGAGTACACGTCAGAATCATGGTTTCTGAGAAAGACATGAAGGAAGCATCAGTCCCTGCCTGAGACACAGTGTCTTCCCCCTTTCCTCATCAGGAAATGTAGTGTTACAAATTCCCTCCCCTCCACGTTTTTCTACACTGCCTTTTCTTTTTTTTTTTTTAAACATGTTTTTAATGCTTTATTTTATTTTTGAGAGAGACAGAGAAAGCACAAGCAGGTGAGGGGCAGAAAGAGAGAGAGAGAGAGAGAGAATCCCAAGCAGGCTCTGCACTGCCAGCACAGAGCCCGATGCAGGGCTCAAACTCATGAACTATGAGATCATGACCGGAACCGAAACAAAGAGTCCAACGCTTAACCCACTGAGACACCCAGGCACCCCTACCTACACTGCCTTTTCTGCACCATCTCAGAAACACACTTGGTCACACCCTCTTCTACTTGACCCATCTTGTTCCCAGTGAGAAAGGAGCCCCCTCAAAGTCAGCTGAAAGGAAGGTTTTTATAGGTGTGCTTTCCCCCTGCAGAATGTCCGTTCCTGAAGGGAACAGTCTACAACACCAGTCTCTGATGTCTCTGCCCGGAATATTATCTGTCATATGGAAGGGACTCTATAAATGTTTACAGTATAACCAGTTTGGGATCAGTGGATCAAAGGACATCTTTTTGGCTTCAAACATATTGCAAACTGCCCTCCAAAACATTTGCACCTATTTACAATGCCATCTACTATGCATAGAGTATAGATTTCACTGCAACCTATTTTATTAGGAGAAACTGTGTCTTAATGTGTTTTTTTAATGCTTATCTATTTTTGAAAGAGCACAAGTAGGAGAGGGACAGAGAAAGCAGGGAGGTGTGGTAGGGGACAGAGGATCTGAAGTGGCCTCTGCGCTGACAGCAGCAAACCTGAAGCAGGGGCTCGAATTCAAACTGTGAGATCATAACCTGAGCCGAAGCCAGATGCTCAACCAATTGAGCCACCCAGGCGCCCCACTGTGTCCTAATATTTTGACATGTCTTTCTTTACTAGTGAGGTTAGATATCTTCTCCAACGTTCATTTTACTAAACATAATCCTCTATTGTGAATTGTCTCTTTATATCCCAGTAATCCTTTTCTCAAAGTTTGCCAAGACTATAGCTGAATTTCTTTCTCTCCCTACGCAAGAAGCCACAGGCCCAACCTTAAATGGAGGACTTTTCCTAAACTATGTAGATCCATATCAGTGTGCCCCAGAAGGCAGCTTACAAACTAAGTTTGCTACAAGGCCTAGGGCAGTTAGGATTCTCTGCATTATGGACTCTTTTCTCGGGATGAGCTTCAGGTAAGAAATAATCTCCTGGGTGGCTCAGTCAGTTAGGCGCCCAACTTTAGTTCAGGTCATGATCTCACAGTTCATGGGTTAGAGCCCCACATCAGGCTCTCTGCTGTCAGCACGAATCCCACTTCGGATCCCCTGTCCCCCTCTGTCTCTGCCCCTCCCCTGCTTGTGATCTCTCAAAAATTAATAAATAAACTTAAAAAAAAAAGAAATATAGTCTCACTGTTTTCAGCAGATTGCTAAAACTTCTGGGAAAATGCAAGTATATGAAAATGGTCCTTCCTTCCTTTAAAACTTGCCAAGTCTGGAGGTGCCTGGGTGGCTCAGTTCATTGGACTTCTGACTTGGGCTCAGGTCATGTCCTCACATTCACGAGTTCAAGCCCCACATCAGGCTCTGTGCTGACAGCTCAGAGCTTGGAGCCTGCTTCGGATTCTCTCTCTCTCTCTCTCTCTCTCTCTCTCTCTCTCTCTCTCCCTCAAAAATAAATAAGCATTAAAAAAATAAAAACAAAAAAGCAAAAACAAAACAAACAAAAACCTGCCAAGTCTGTTCTCTAGAACTTCTCCCCTTAAACCTCTAAATGGAGAGGGAAAGCAGAAGTGGGCTACAGGTGGTATTGACAGAGCATAGCTCAAGGACAAATCCACACTGAGAACTTTTTAGCCAACTGTGTGATCAGTTGGTTAAGTTGTTGTGATACAAATTTGAAATACAAAGTCTTTTTCTTCAAAAAGTGTAGCCTGAGATTTTAGTCTATCCTTATACCTCCCTCATATGGACCTCCCTCTGTTTCCTCTCATTGACATTTACATAATGGATAAATATTATTTTACCAGGGTAACAATGACTTTCCACAGAACATACTAGATAGTGTTAGGGAAGATTTATAGCTACTATCTCATGCCAGACAATTGGTTTGGCCCAATCTCACCCACTCTTCCGACTTTGGAGCCTGCTCCAGTTTATTTCAAAGTCCTGTACTCCCAGTCTCCATTTTAGGCCAGGGCCATTTATCCCTTGATCTTGGAAGAAGCAGGTTCTTTCCATCTGAACTTAGGGCCCTCATGACTCAAAGAGAAACTGCTCTCCTCACTTGTCCATACAAAGCCAGCTCAAGAGTATATCTGTATTTTGTTTGGAGAACATTTCTAAACTAATCTCTTTATGGCCAGCAATTCTAAACTCCTCCTGCCCCAAAGGCTTTCTCTCCCTTATCTGTGCTCTAAAGAAACTCTTCTTAAAATTCATTAACTATAGGACATCCAGAAGGCCAGCAACACATCTCTTTCAGGCGCTCATCCCATTCACTGAAAAATTATTTGATCAGGAATTATTAGGAATCACCTATTACTTTGTACTTGACTTTGCCGCAGTGCTGAAGATACAGCCAGAACTACCCTTGGGCCAAGACCCTTCCCTGGGCCTCACATTTAAGAAAGGCCCACAGGTAACTAACACTATTATTTTATATAAAATAATAAATTTATTACAGAACACAGAGGTGCTTCTGTGGCTTGAGGTCCAATGTGACCAATAACCCTAAACCTCTACACTTCTCTTGTCCAAGATCCTTAAAACAGGGCTATGTCTGAGTAATGACACTGCTTACAGATTGTGCCTCTGCCAGAATAGGAGACAAACACTGCTTCCAAGTTCTGGAAGAATCTGAGCAGCAGAAGCATGTCAGTGAAAGAAAACACTGACTTGTCAAATTCTTCCCTTCAGGTGGCATGAATGAAGCACATTTTTATATTGTGATGTATGTTGGTGCCAAGCATCTCTTTCCTTCTTTTGCTTCATGTTCCAAGGCACACTTCTGAAGGTACTCACAAATTAGCACAATTTCCCCCAACGGTTGTACATGGCAACTGAGGCATGTTTTGCAATATTCAACAATTTCTTTACTCTTTTAAGTTTGTACATATGTAGTGTGACTCTTCTTACTATTCTTTACAAGGCTCTATCTATCCAGATATTGCTGTAAGAAGTGGGAAAAATCGCAATAGAAGTTGTAGAACTTCATATCATAAAATGAAAGTAATCCATAACAGTGTGATCATCTTAATTTAACATATGCAACCCCATTTCAATGTTACAACATTGTAAAACTCACAACTCATTTCTTAAAGTATTGCTTTAAGAACGGTACTGACAACACTAATCACGATCACCTTGCAAAATATCTTCAAACAGAAATTAATTTTTAAAAACTAATAACTTACAGGGTACCTGGATGGCTCAGTCATTTAGCATTCAACTCTTAATCTCAGCTCAGGTCTTGATCTCAGGGCTGTGACTTCAAGCCCCACACTGCACTCCACACTGGGTGTAAAGCCTACTTAAAAAAAAAATTAAAAATAAAATAATATAAATAAAAAGTAATAGCTTACAACGATCCAAGAAAGATTAGCTAATTGGATATCCATTACTGTCAGAGGAACATAAATTGTGTAAAAATCTAGACTGTAAAAACCACTGATATTGCTGAAATGGAGGCAAAAAAAAATAAATTTTCAGCTGTGCCTTTAGGCCAATCTATCTGCCTTCCTTCCATCAAACAGAAGACATCCAACACATCATCGACCTGTATACTGCTTTCAACAAGAGTGGTTGCATGGACACAATTGTATGGATGGTAGCTACTTCAGGTGGAAAGGATTTGCAGGACTACAGAAAGGAGACTTGGGGCGCCTGGGTGGTGCAGTCGGTTAAGCGTCCGACTTCAGCCAGGTCACGATCTCGCGGTCTGTGAGTTCGAGCCCCGCGTCAGGCTCTGGGCTGATGGCTCAGAGCCTGGAGCCTGTTTCCGATTCTGTGTCTACCTCTCTCTCTGCCCCTCCCCCGTTCATGCTCTGTCTCTCTCTGTGCCAAAAATAAATAAACGTTGAAAAAAAAAATTTAAAAAAAAAAAAAAAAAAAAGAAAGGAGACTTGAGGACATGGGACCCTGGGCTCCTCATATGTTTCTGGGTCACTGATGCTATCAGCATCTGAGGGAAATCAGCAGAGGTTGGGAGATTTCAAGCAAGGGTGAGTCATGCACGTTTTGCCTCCTCCCAGCCCAGGAGCCCTTACATTCCCTTTCAGCCACCTGTGCTTTCAGCCATCAGCACTCTCTTTCCTTCCACGACCATCGCCTTTCCTTTCCCAAGACCTACTAACCAGGACAGGAGCCATCTTGAGCTGGAACCATATCATATCAAGAGCTGGAATAAAGCTCGACAATGGCTCCCTAGAGAGAACATCAGGATCAGAAAAAGGAACAATCGGATCATTTCCAAAAGCTATGAATCCCCAGCGAGGAGTCAGAGAGGGCTATAAAGGAGCAGATGAAAGTGACTTTAAATGAGCTTGCAGTGAGGAAGGATGGAGTAAGAAAGGGCAGAGGGACGGAGCTGAGGACAGAGGGAGAGCTGAGGTAGCTGGACCCTGGCAACTGGAAGCCAGATTCAGGAGTAACTTAGGAAGGGAAGTGAGACCTGGGGAAAGTTAAGAAGAACCATGCCAACCACAGGAGGGCACTGCGTCCCCGTGGGCTAGCCTGGAATGTCTAGGACCAACAAAGTGAAGAAGTCAGACAAGGACAGTGAACCCCCTCTCCCTTGCTCCCAGCAGAAAGCATCTCTCCCTCTTCCTAACTCTTGGGTTTCTCATGCTGACACATCTATAGGAGAGGGACACACAGTCACCACCATGTCACACACCACCTGTGTGACAGATACATACACACACACTCACACGTGTACACATGGTATCCTCCCTCTTCTGAAGATTACCTTGCTAACAGTGTTCTCTGTGTAGCAAATGAGTGGAGAAGGCCTGCCTTCCTTTCCATAATGCATAGGAAATTTTGTCAGGCAAGGCCGATGCAGGTTGGAGTTCTTTGCCTTTCCTTCAGCTTAAAAATATCAGGGCTTTAAGATATGGAAGCAGCCTTGGGGTACCTGGGTGGCTCAGTGGATTGAGCATCCAACTCTTGATTTTGGCTCAGGTCATATCATGGTTGTACAATCAAGCCCTGAGAAAGGCTCCACACTGAGAGAGTAGCCTGCTTAAGATATTCTCATTCTCTCTCTCTCTCTCTCTCTCTCTCTCTCCTCCCCTCTCCCTTTGCCCCTCTCCTCCTCTTGCACACATACTCTCTCTCTCTAAAATTAAAAAAAATGTTTAAAGGAAAAAACAGATATGGGAGCAGATTAAATGCCCATATATGGGTAAATGGATTAAAAAATAATAATAATCCGGGGCACCTGGGTGGCTCAGTCAGTTAAGCATCTAACTTTGGCTCAGGTCATGATTTCATGGTTCATGGATTTGAGCCCCACATTGGGCTCTACACTGACAGTGTGGAGCCTTCTTGGGATTCTCTCTCTCTTATTCTCTCTCTCTCTCTCTGCCCCACCCCTACTTGCACTCTCTCTGTCTCAAAATAAATAAGTAAACTTAAAAAAAAAATAATAATAATCCACACAATGGGTTATTCAGCCATGAGAAAGGAGAATATTCTGACATTTGTGACAAAATGTATGGAACTTGAGCACATTATGCTAAGTGAGATAAGTCAGACAGAAAAAGACAAGTATTGTATGATATCACTTATAAGTGGAATCTAAAAAAGTCAAACTTGTAAAAACCAGAGAGTAAAATGGTGGTTACCAGGGGACAGGGCGTGAGGGAATAAGACTGATGTTGCTTAAGGGTACAAACTTGAAATGAGTAGTAAATAAGTCATAGAGATCTAATGCACAGTATAGTGAATATGATAATAATGTTGTACTACAATTATCAAAATTGCTAAGAGACTAAAATGTAATTATCCCAAATACTAAAGGGAAAGGATAATTATATAATGCGTTAAAGGTGCTAAATATAGCTATAAAGGCAATCGTATCACAATATATAAATATATCAAGTTAGCACATTGTACATCTTAAATTTACACAATGCTGTATGTCAAACATTCAATTTTTCAGTCAGGGCTTTTGCAATATCCTACCTGTCCTCATACTAAGTTCATATGTTCTTCTTGACACCAAATTTTGCCTTCGTAAGAAAGAAGGGTAGGAGATCAAAGAAGTAGTCAATCATGATTCATCTTAGAGAAAAAATATTCTTGTATCAAAATATAGGTTCCCTTGTATCAAAACATAGGTTCCCTGGATGATGTGTGTTACCAATCAGCCTTCTGAAAGACAACAAAGAGAAAATTGCAGTTACCCAGGGGGTGATGCATTTTTCTTGAAGTGTTCTTGAGGAGAAAGAAGTGGATTGGCCTCATAAAAAGCAGTCAAAAATTCTCTGAGCAACTCTAGAATTCCAAACATTCTTCCTGTATAAGTATCACCCACCTGGAGGAGGAGTCTAAAAGTCTGGGTGAGTGTGCAGTCCCCACCATAGCAAGAAGAGGATTTTGGTGAGTCTGTAAAGAACCTCAGAATGTCTGATTTAAGGAGCCAATATTTTAAATAACACCTTCATTTTTTTCCTTACTAGGGAAGTAAAACATATTCAATACAGAAATGTTATAAAACCAGAAAAAAAAAACTACAAATCAAAAAGAAAGAAAGAAAGAAAGAAAGAAAGAAAGAAAGAAAGAAAGAAAGAAGGAAAGAAAGAAAGAGTGAGTCTATCTGTAATCTCATAAACCAAAGATAAACACTCTTCATCTTTATAAATTTCCAATCAGTATTTTTTCTGGTTATATTTAAAACTAAAATATGTCATAGGATACATAGTATTTTATGTTGTGCTTTTTTTGTTTCCCCTTAACAATATAAAGGGAATGTTTCCCCATTTCCATAAGCTTTCTCCTGGGTTGTATTTTATTAGTGGCAGCATTGTTTTCCTTCCTCAATTGGTGTCATCACTTATTTATTCTTTCTCTTATTGCTGAGTGCTTTGGATAGTTTCCCTACTCAGGACAACAGCCTGAGAGCTGAGTTTGAAATTTTGCCTCAGTGGTGGCAGCTCCCCACAAGCTGTTTCAAGTGCATGCGATTACCAGGGTGGGGACCTGTTCTCCTTGAAGTTCTTGTTCTTTGTTTCATTTTAGAGTGGTGTTATAAGACAAAATTCAACCAAGTACATCTGAATATCTGATTGGCTTTATTAATCAATGCATGAGAAAGCATCCTATCTCGTAAGTGGAGGGGAGCTCCTAGGAATTCTACAAAATGGAAAGTTTTCCTAGGAGGGAGGTGGGACAAGAAGTTATTAGCAGAAGAAAAGAAAAGATTGTTTCAGGCCAGGACATTTTTTGAGGAAGCAGGGAGGGGAATGGCAGGGTTTTTATCATACAGGTTACCACATTAGTGCTGATCAGGACATTTCAGATTGACTGTTAAAAGGTTGCATTCGTGGAACAGATTGAAACTAATTCGATCTTTCTTTGCTGTTGTCAGGGACAAATGACTCCATTTTGGATTTCTTTCTTTTTTAACAATGTTAACAACATACCTCACTTCTGGCAAAACAAAAATGCATGCTCTTCTAATCAATGGAAGGATATCTGGGCCAGCCTACATGGCTGTAGGTATCTTACAGACAAAAACAAAAAAAAAGACAAAAAAAAAAAAACCGAAAGAGGATGTACTGGCTTGACTTCACCCACTTCTAGTTTCATTCTTCTACAATTTTTCCCAAAGTGAGCATAAAACAAAATGGATGACTGTTCCAGAATTTTCCTGTTTCCAGAATGTTATAAAAATTGTCATTATTTTTCACTTCCTGCCCGATTGCAGAGATGACAGCACAGCTTGACCCAGTAAGTGGCATCCTGTGGCATAGAGATGTTGTTACAGGTTCAGACAGAAGGGAGTTCTCTGCGTTCTTTTCCTCCTGTGGGGAGGCTCTGCCTTAAGCCATGCACTTTCCATCACTCAGGTTTCCTTTAGGTTAATGACAAGGAGCCAGTGATGGAAACTCAGTTCCCTCAAAGGAATCTGGCCACCCCAGGTTGCAGTCCTAAATTGATGGTGTTTAAAAAAAAAAAAAAAAAAGGCCCAAAATAGAGTCATTTGCCCTCCACAACAGCCAAGAAAGACTCAATTAGTTTCACTCTATCCTAGGAACAGGACTTTTAAAGAGTCAATCTGAAATCTCCTGATCACTACTGCAGTAATCTGTAGGATGAAAACCCTGTGTTTCTGCCCCTCTCCCCCCAAAAGACTTCCTGGCCTGAAACAATCCTTTCTTTTCTTTTGCTAATAACTTCTTGTCCCAACCTTCTTATAAAGACCTTCTATTTTGTACAATTCCTAGGAGCTCCCCTC